CATTTTAACCTGACTGCAGCTACAATGATCCACTTTCCAATGTGGTGACAAGGCTATTGACACCCCTCATCCTTGACAGATGGGAGGAGGCTTCATCCACATGTAGTCCCCTTCACTTTTTGAAAAAACTAATAACTAAAATGTATCAAAAGGGAAATAAAATATTTTAACAGCTTCTATAGTCAGCTTTACAATGCTCGCTTTCTGATAGCAAGACTATTTACATCCCTTGACTATAATCAGAGGGGATTCACCAGAGGCTTAATCCATAGATGGATCTTCCATATGGATTTGGGGCTTCTGTTTTGTTTTTTTTAATCTCTTCTGTGATTAAAAAAAAAAATGGTGCCGGCCCAGCCACATCCTCAGGATCAGGGCTGTGACACATGTGTTGGTCCTGCAAAGGGTGGCGTGTGGCTTCTCATCCAAATGGCTGCTCAGGAGAACTAACTCAGAAAGAACAAGCTCACCCCTAATAAAATGATTTAGAAAAGAAAGAAATTTTAATACCAAAAGACACCCCACAGGATCAGCTGGAGGTTCCGGGAGCAGAGCCGAGGGATTCTTGTCTGCAGAGTCGGGGGGAGCCAGACTTCAATGGAATGATTGTACAAAGAGGGCACTTGAAGCAGCCCGCTAACTGGAAAAGAGATGGACGGGGTCAAGGGTTTCATTTTATGTTGGTTCACAGTCTACGCGCATGCACACAGCAGTCAGGTCAAATGCTTTGGGCTGATCTGCAAAAGACTTCTTTAAGTGTTAAAAAGTACAAGATATCCCTTTGAAGACTAAGGTATGCCTGGCCCCGAGCCGTGGTATTTTCAGTACCCTCATATGCATGTGAAAGTCACATCATGAAGAAGAATAACTGCCCTTGAGTTATGGTGTTGGTGAAGAATATTAAATAGACCATGGGTTTCCAGAAGAATGAACAAATCCTCGTTAGAAGCACAGCTAGAATGCTCTTTCGAGTTGGGGATGGCAGGACTGGTCATCAGGAGGAACAAGTTGTCCTGCTTGGTAAAGAAGACAGCCAGTGGAAAAGAGGAAGATTGTTAATGAGATGTAGCAACAAAGTGGTTGCAATTATAACGTCAAACCTAATGGTGGTGAGGATGGCACAAGACAGGGCAGTGTTTTCATTCTGTGCGTATAGAGTCACTCTGAGTCAGGAACTGACTGGGCCGCATGCGCGGGCGGGTGCCACCCAGTCGACTCTGATGTTATAGAAAGTCTTGCCATTGCATTGTGGCTATACTTCTGAACCAACACAGATTTGATTGTTATTCGGGCAGCCCATGGTGTATTTAATATTCTTTAAGACACACCATAATTCAGAGGCATCAAATCGTCTTTGTTTGCCTTACTCGATGTCCAGCTTTCATATACATATGAAGTGATCAAATATATCATGGAGCTTTGGTAGTGCTATCAGGTAAGCATTAGGCTGTTACCCACAGGTCAGCAGTTCAAACCCACCAGCCACTGCACAGGAGAAAGATGAAGCTGTCTGTTATTGTAACGATTTAGAGCCGAGGGTCACTGATTCCAAACTGACATGGTAGAAGTGAGTTTGCCTTTTTAAAAAAAATCATTTTATTAGAGGTTCATACAACTCTTATCATAATCCATACATACATCAATTGGGTAAAGCACATTTGTACATTCATTGCCCTCATCATTCTCAAAACATTTGCTTTCCACCTAAG